ACTATGGAAGGGGGTGTAGTGCTGCAGCTGAACTACAACACTATAACGGCTACGGCCAGGTTTCAGGTGCGTGTGTGTATGTGCGTGTGTGTATGTGCATGTGCGTGTTTCGCGTGTGCGAGTGCGAGTACAGTAAAGTGCCTGTAGTACCAGTTTTTCAGGCCTGCACAGGCCTTTGTCACGTCTGCCGTGCGTACATGTTTTGTCGATGCTACAGTCGTATGACGCGACACCTTACCTTTAGTTTACCTTACCGGCCTGTGCACTACATCTGTATCCTGTATGTATGTATGTATGTATGTTCTTATTTCTGTATATGTCAGGAATGCGCATGTATGGCATGCATGGCATGGTGCCTAATAGATGTCTGCATGTCTATCTGTCTGTGCATTTGTGTTTTCATCCCACCCTCCCAACCACTGTGGCGCGTTTTGGTGCCTCGGCCTCCTTAGTTGGATATCAGCAGTATCGCTGTGTTATCTGTGCCTGTAAATTTGCCTAATTGTCATTTTCGTTGATTAAATTTTAACAAATTTTGAAAATCTTTCCACGAATTTTACAGCTCTCAGATAGGGATTTTGCTTAACTAATCCCTTTTTAAATTTCCCCTCTGTAATTCCCAAACCCCGTGCTTTCCTTCCCCCACCCCTTTTTCGCAACTTCCCAGGCCGACTCACCGTACGCTAGTTGTGACGCCGGAGTGCAGCTCTCCCTAATAAATGCACTTGCTGAGATGCTAAACTTTCCAGCGGGGAACATCAGTACGGTATGTACGGTCGAGGGCAGCGGCGCGACGCAGCGCCGCCGCCGCCTGAGCCAAAGCCCGGCCTCCAGCGAGAGTAGCAACAGTAACAGCACGGTAAGGAACTTTTGGATGATGCTTGGAAGGATGCGAAGAGATGTAATAATCAGCCGCCTTTGCTACGGCTATTGCTAATGCCAATGCAACAACAGCAATAGCTGTGCAGCGATCCCCTTGTGTAATTTGCGTTAAATCTTATCACCATCGTTCGATCTTACTTTGCACCTTGCGGCTTCATTTGCTGCTGTGCTTTCCTTGCTGCTGTACTCTTCTTGCTTCTGCTAATGCCCATACTTCTTTGCTTGGCTGCTGCTGGGACTGCAGGCCTCAGCCTGCTCAGGAACGACTGTACGGAGCGACATCACCTTCAAGGTAAACTCACCTCCCGCTCCGGTTCTCAACCCAAGCTGACTGGTAGTGACGTTTATGGGTTAACCAACCTAACCGAATTTCTGTGGTTCTTATCCTCTTGTCTGGGATTTTTGTTTTCCGGTTTGGAAAGCAGATGGAGGGAATATACAACTTGGCGTTGGCTGCTCCAGTATGCGCGTATGTATGTGCGTATGCCCGCAGTCTCTGTCCACACACCTCTCCTTTCCCCCCCTTCCTCCACGTCGCCTTCCCGCCCTGGCCCCCGTCGAAACGAATCGAACGGTTATCGCGGTTTTTGAAACCCCAATCCGTGGGGTCTTCCCGCTGGGTCTTCCCCCCCACACCACAACCACTATAACCAGCTCACATCTCCCCCTAACCCTCCCTCCCTCTCTCCCGTCCTCCCCCCTGCAATGCCGCAATCCCCGCAACCTCATTTGACAAATATCGAAACCCGGGGCAAAACCCGGCAGTTGGATCCCGCAGTCTCCCTGGAGGTTTTCCGTACATCCGTATATCACGCACTATCTGACGGCGGGCTAACAGGCGTGTGCCCCCTGGGCCTGCTGCTGGGTACCTGGGCGGTAACTGGCACCACGGTGAGGGGAAGGGGTGGGGGAGGGGGAGGGGGAGGAGGAGGAGGAGGAGGGGAAGGGAAGGGGGACTGGGGCTGTGGAGGGCGTCGTGCTTCTGTGTGTATGCATCACTCGCATACCTCATCTACTTTTTGCCGTAATACAGGTTCGCGCCATCACTGCCGCCAGCGGCACCTACACGGACTGCCGTACACTCAGCACCGCCGTCGTGACAGCCGTCCAGACCGCCGGCACTACCGCCGCCGTCACTGGCTGTACGACTGCGCAGTACTACGGCAATCTGCTCGTTCCAGTGGAGCCGGCCGCCGTAGCCCCCGTCAGCCCAAAACGCAAAGACGGTGGCGGTGGGCCGCCCATATTTGTCATAATTGGTGCGGTGGGCGGTGTTTTGGCGCTGGCGGCGATTGCGGCGGCGGCTGTTTGGCTCTACAGGAGAAACAAGGTCGGTTTGGAAGGGATGCCAAGCGACCCAAAACAAGCAAACATAACAAGCGACCCATAACAAGCAGGTTGGCGTAGGCTGGTGTCTTTTTGACATCAACAAGGCTCTGGGTGCGGACGGCACTGATTGCACCTGTGACGATGGATCCGTCTGAAAACAGAAAATTGTGTGTTTCTCATGACCTTTGGCGCGGGGCTCCCCCCATCCCCACCAGACACACATACATACATACACACACACCCTTCCCAGTATCTCCCAAATGGTGCTCCGGACGTCTGTGATCCTTTGCCTCGTTGACCATCGCATCACCATTACCTTTATGAAATTCATTATCATTGTCATTGTCATGTTTAAGATAATAATCATGAACATTATTGTCATACGCTTACCTCATTTCGCACGCCTCTCCCGACCTCGATCTCCATACCGCCGCTTCTCGCAGCACATGTTGGGCTTTACGGTGGAGTCAGGGGCAGTACCGGGATCAGCGGATGAGGCCGCCGCCGCCGCCGCCGCCACCGGCGCCGCCGCGGTAGGCGGTACGGAAGGCGCGCAGCTTTGGGCCCACGCCGCGGCCTCTCTGCGCGAACCCAAGGGCATACCCCCAGATGGAAAATGTGATCCCGATGACGTGGCCGGCGGAATGTCGTCGTCGTCTGTATCCGGCCCGGGGGCATTCGGCAGCGATACGGATCCGGACGTCGTGGTTGCTGCTGGCGCCGCCGCCGCCAGCGCCGCCGCCGCCGCCGGCGGCGCTGCTCCACACCCATCTGGCCCAGCTCGTACAAGAACGGCTTCCGTCATCGGGGCTGCGGGACCAGAGCCGAGTGGCGATTCCATCGCCACACTCACGCTCCCAACTGACGGCGGTGACGCGGCGGCTGGCGCCGCCGCCGCCGCCGCGCTGGCGGCCATGGCCGCGCACCCACCCGCCAAACAGCTGCCGCCGCTGAAACCCATCCGTACGGCACTGGCGAATCTTCCGGAGTTGGATCCGGAAATCGCGCGCATCAAATCCTTTACGGCTAAACCGTTGGGGGAGGTGGTGTCGCACGTTCCCAAAAAAGAGTTGCCGCCACTCCGCACCGCCGCCGCCAGCTCTTTACCGGTGGCTGGATCGAACCCCCTGATGAAGCCTGTCCTTCCGAACCTCAAGGCCCGCGACGCTGCGGCCGCAGCAGCCGCCGTTGACGGCGGTACGGCGTCGGCTGTTACACCACCTGGCGTGATGCCGACGCTGTCGATGAATGCGGCCGCGATGATGCAGTACGACAAGGACTTGGCGGCCGCGCGCGGGCCGCACACAATGGTGAGTGAGGTTGATTACCGCTGCTGCTGCTGCTACTGCTACTGCTACTCCCGCGGTGCTCTGCTGCTGGATGTCCCGTATTTTAATTTTAATTGTCGTACCCTTAACTGACGTCACTCCCGCCCGTCAACCAATCGGTGCCGGCGCCGCCGCCGCAGGAGGCGCTCGACCCTGCAGCTGCTGCAGCCGCCGCCGCCGCTGCCGGCGGCCGCAGCAGTGCTTCGGGCTTGTTTGTACGAACGGGCTCCCGGGAGAGCGGTGGAGCCGCTGCAGTGGCGGCGGCGGCGGAGTCTGCCGCTGCCACCGGCAGCGGCGGCACCCGCCGGGGCGCCAGCTGGGATGGCGCTGGCGCCGGCGCCGCCGCCGCCGGGCCCAAAGGCATCTTCACTCGCATTTTCGGCGGCTTTGGCGGCGCCGGTAAGGCTGTTGATGGGCACCCGCCGCAGACGATACACGAGCTGCCAACCCTGGAGCAATTGGACGCGGAGGCCGCCGCGGCGGCGGCGGCAGCGGCGGCGGCTGCCGCCGCCGCTGGCGGCGGTGTTACCGGACGGCGAGGCAATCGCTTTAGCGGCAGCAACGTGTCTCATTCTGGATCTGGATCCGGATCTGTCGGCGTTACGTTTTCCGCGACCCAGATCGGCATTGCGATAAGTCCCGCGCAAAGTGCTGACGGCGCAACGAAGGGGATGTACGGCCCGCGAACTGGCGCGCTGCTGCCCGAAGGCAGCGGCTTGGACGTCAGCACTGCTGCCGCCACGGCGGCGGCGGCGGCAGCCGCGGCGGCTGCCGCGCCGGCTATGGTTGCTGGCGGCGGTGGAGGTAAAACGAGCAGCCTCCCGCCACTGGTTATGAAGCCGAATGCCGCGTATACGATGCCTAGGGATTCGAATGGGATTGATGTCGAAGCTGACGGCGACGCGGCGGCGGCGGCGGGCATGGGCACCAACGGTCCTAACGGTCACCGTACAGTGCGGTTCAATCGCCCAGGCGATCATGCCAACGGCGGCTTGGACGAGGACGATGCGGCGGGTGCCAAGCTTGCAGGCAGCGGCGGTGGTGGGCACGGTGTACGGCACTTCCAGCGGCCAGACGGCAAGGAAACGTACGGCATGGATACCGCCAGTCAGGATGCGCCGCCAGTGGAGGGCGAAACGTCGCAGCGGGCTGGACTTCCGTCGCACCTCCGCGACTTCCAAAGGTATCTGCCCGCGGATCCTGGCTGCCGTACTGCCGTACTGAAAGCACGACTAAATGTATACATATAAACACAATGCATCATCTCAGGTTAATATCCCATACACATATGTATGGTTTTGAGGTTTGTATTATATGTATATTCACTTTTCAATATTAAGTTACAGGTTAAGTTCGTTACTTAACCGTTTGCTGTTGTGTTCGTTGTTTGCTGTTGTAGCTAACAATACCGTTAAGTTCTGTATCTGGCCCCGCCCCGCCCCGCCCCGCCCCACCGGCATCACTTTAGGCCCGGCATGGCAGTGCACGACGGCCTCCTGGATCCGGAGGCGGCGGCGGCGGCGGCTGGTGCGCCAACCGCCGCTGCGGTGGCTGCTGCCCTTCAGAAACACCGGAAGATCAAATTTGCGGACAATGTACGGCGGGCTGTGTGGTGGGCGCTTGGGTGTGTGTGTGTGTGTGTGTGTGTGGCACGGGGCACGGGGCAGGGGGGTTGTGTTTTCAAATGAAAGCTGAGCTGCGGTGTGAGCCCACCAGGGTGCCGTTGGGATGAACTGCGGGAAGGAAGTGTGGATGTGTGTGTATGTGTATGTATGTATGAGTGTGTGTGGGGGAGAACAAACAAAAAGTGGCGACCGAAGGAAGCAATTCAGGTCCCGCAGCGATGTTGTGCGTATGTTTGTATGTGTGTATGTGTATGTAAGCGCGTGGGGGTTCCCCCCCAAGCTAACATACTGCAATAAATCCCTCGCCGACTCTTCGACCTCCGTACGACCACGACTTCTGTACGATATCTACACGCACGTTAAACCCATTCCTCTGTCCCCCACCTCCCATCCCCGAAATGGCTCTCCCCTGCACACGCACATACATACATGCGCACGCATAGGGCCCCGGCGGCGAACCCGCGGAGGAGGAGGGAGAGGAGCGTCGTTCGGGTGGTCGGGGGAGCGCCCAGGTGGGTTTCGTAACTGGGGGGTACGTGGGGTGGGGTGGGGTTGGGGGGTTGGGGTTGGACTG